ATTTGTAGAGAAATAGCTGTCTCTGAGTGTACAATTAGGGAAGTGGCAAGGTGATAAGAATGAGAAGGCATCTACTGATGGGGCAGGCATTCGAATAGGACAAGGGATTGACAGAAGGCTTCATTAAAAGACAATTAAAAGTGGAAGTTACAACACTGTAAATAGTATCAAAAAGGTAGACATAATCTAAATGCCTAATATTAGGAAACTGATAAAGTAAATTATAGGACACATTGTACAAGTGTCAAAATAAAAAATTATCCACATAGAAAAATACACTTTTCAGTGTAAAGAGTTGCTTATAATATCAGCATATCATAAATTCAAAGCAATATGAGCATATGTAGAGATGAAAGATTGAAAGGATCTTTACTGAGGTCTTCACAGTGACTGTTTTTGACTACATAGATCACCGGCACCATTATATTCTCATTTTGTTTGTCTGTATGTATTTCCCAATTACATACATCCACCTCAAGTTCATACAAGTCTTCATCAGCCTACAACAGTAGAAAGTCAACTCCAAATTCTTCTACAGTATCAGATTCTATTCATCAAATACTTCTCACAACAATTTATAAAATTGACATCATTACTGAAAGCTTTACTGTGATAAAGACTAAGAAGCCTTTGGATTTGACCACTGGAGGTTACTTTCAGAAGACTGATGGAAGCAAAACATTATAAGTCAAAATTCAGCGGGCAGGGGTGCGAACGGGAATTGGGAAGGCAGAGGAGTCAAACAATACCAAGCGGTAGGAGGGCGTGGAAATAGAAGGGAGGCCAAGCAAAGGGAAAGTTTAAAAGGAGTAGAGTTATCAGGGAAGAGAAGCAAGGACTGAATGAAGGGGAAGGGGCTGTAAAGTCAAGATAGGTAAAGGTAAAACTACTTCTACTTACGAGGAAGGTACAAAGGATACCATAAGGAAGACAAAAAAAGAGCCAGCCAGGAAGAAGATATTGGATACCACCGGTAACACAGACAGGAATGGTGAGGAAATGGGTAATATAAGACAATGAAAAAAAAGGAAAACGAAGGTATTTCAGAGCTAAATAGTCTCTTTTAGGCTCTCATTTCCTTCTAATAAGAGTAGCAGAGATGATCTGTGACCTTAATAGGGAAAAGAGATGCCTTATTTGTTTTCAATCTTCGTGAAGTTCCGTGGGTTGATAATATCGCTTTTAAATGTATGGCAGTCCAGACTCCCCCTTGCCACACAGAAGAAGGTTTAACTACTGCCTTCTTTTTGGAGAGTATATTATTTAAATTTGATGATAACCCCTTAATGAGATAATAAGTTAATAAACATAGCAAAATTCTGTTTTAACCTACAGAATAAAATTTAAGCAGCATAAACCAGAATTTGTTATTCATTCAAGAAGACTGAAGGAAAATCTTCTGAGGCAAATAATATAGTCAGTTTCAAATCATATTAGGGATACTGAAAGTAATGTACATATAAGATAATGTGTCAAGGGCAATAAAATAGTACAAACGAAATCATCAACAATGAGAGAAGAGCTAACATGATGCAGTAATAGCTTTTACGTCGTAGAAATGACAAGTGAAATCATTGTATATAACAAAAATGTATTGGTTGGGGATGCTCAATATATAGGTTTTAAAAAGTCTAAGCGCATGTACACACACATACATTATTTAGTAAGGTGACAAAAGAAATCCAACCTAATATCTAAACCAAAATAAAGCTATCTGAGGTCAACCAAAAATGAATATACCAAACTCATTCTCCTGGGACATTACAGCTATGAGGGAACAAATCATTATGTAGACTTAATTTAAAAGAACAGGAGAAAATCTATTTTCTGCCAACCAAAGAAGTGACTTACTCATGCATAAGGAAAATTAAAGTAGAAAAATATCCACCATCAATAACATGTCACAGGATTAGCAAACCACATACATGATCTCCATGTGTTTATGAATGCAGTCATTATTAGTGGGTGAGTATTAATGCACATTATTTTATGATTGCCAGTTCATTAGGATCAATTAATGTAGTGGTCAATGATATTATATATGTTAATTACCTAGGCTTACTGTGGGATGACACTGCAAGAAAAGGCTGATGTGACATGAAAATTACTTCATGGGATAGCATTCAATAATTGCCACTGAAGAGTGGAAATTGTCTGATCATAGCAAAGAAGGCTAGTGACAACATACCTCCTGTCAGGTTGGTGCTGCAGGTGGCCAATCTCCTCTGGGCAATCCTGTAACATGGGCTGGAGCTCTTCCTGTGGGGAGGGAGTCAGAGTGGCAGTGGACTGATGACTATAGGACACAGCAGCTGGAGAAGAAGCTGCTCCCCGCACAGGGGGAGTAGGGCCTCGTTCATCGTCCTCCTCTTCTAATTCATCTTGTTGCAAATACATCCTTGCTGGTGGTACAGGACATGGCATTTCTTGGTCATAGCTAAGAGAAATTATAAGGACATGTAGACGTATTTCAGGTTATTCAAGTTTTGTATAGTAAGTGAAATATCGGCTTTGAATTTTTTTTTCCAAATCTGAATGTTCTGGGTCCACAGGAGGTTTGGTTAAAAAATAAATAAATAGTTCACTAGCACATATTACTACATATGCTATTTTTTTTCTGAGAGATTGCAATGCACATGAGATTATTATAGGGTCTGAGAAGTTATGCAATAAAAAAATCTACTTAACACAGGTTAACTTAGCAAAGCCCAAATGTATTTGGCACATTCTGTCCCTCCAATTCTACGTGTTCTCTAAAATAAGACTCAAAGATGGTATTATAGATGAGGTTCTAAACTCCTAGAAAAATTACTCTTGAAAATCCTTTCAGAGGAAGATACATTGGAGATCAACTCATTTAGTCCAATATCACCCATTTTTCCTCTGAAATTATAATAAATCCCTATTTCTTCAGTAGAGCACAACATGAAGTAGTTGGTTTGCATTTAGCATGGTGAGTGAAACATACAATACCATTAAACAATGAAACGCCCCTCTACTCCTGTGCTAGAGCTGTGTGGAAACCAAGATGGACGAGGGGAACATTCATGCCTTTCTCTTTTCTCTTACCCCAGGGTACATGTTTCTCGATTAGAAGGGCAGTGACGTATCTCATTATATAAATTGTGTTTTCATTACCCATCTCTCATGTTCATTTTCTACCACCTGCCTTGTTTACCTGAACTCAGGATAGTTCATGCTCAAATAACATGATTTCTTTGTATCTTCCTTCACTTTCCTAATCCCACCACCTCCCTCTTTATTAACAAATAGCACAGCGATTTGCTCACTCGTCCAAACTAGAAATCTTGTAGTCACCTTTGATTTCTCTCTCTTCTCCCTCAAACTACTCCCCCAATTTGATTCTATTATATCTATAAAAACTCTCTAGAATCTATTCCCTTATTTCTGTCTGTTGTATGTGCTACTATAACAATCTTTTAATTGATCTCTTAGCCTCCGGTCACTCGACTGCTTCCAAAACTACTGTACTATTATACACATCATTTGCAGGCTATTCATTCGCTCTTCAAAGTAAGAAATGACTCACTAACTGCATAGAGAATAAAATATAAAAGCCTAAGTAAGACATTCAAGTATCTGCGTAGTCTGGCTTCCATGTGCCTTCCCAGCATCCTCGCACTCCCTACCATGTGTTTCATGTTAGTTCTCCAGGAGTTCACATCTCTGTGTGGTCCCACGTCCATAAAACCCCTCCTCTTAATTGAGAACCTTCTCATTTGTCCAGATCAAGAATAAATACCAACAGATCAGGAAACCTTCATTCTTCTCAATTAGAATCAGTTTTTCTCTTTGAGGCACAGCTATATCTCCTGTATTTTTTTTTTTTTTTTACTTTGTAGCTATATCCTCTTAGTTCTCTTTTGTGAACTAAAGTAGCAATAAATGTTAAAATAACCTGGAAAATGAATTTTTAAAATATAGTCTATCTCCATTACATGCAGATTCCATATTTGTAAATTCACTGAACCAGATCAGGAAACCTTCATTCTTCTCAATTAGAATCAGTTTTTCTCTTTGAGGCACAGCTACTCCTGTATTTTTTTTTTTTTTTTTTTACTTTGTAGCTATATCCTCTTAGTCCTCTTTTGTGAACTAAAGTAGCAATAAATGTTAAAATAACCTGGAAAATGAATTTTTAAAATATAGTCTATCTCCATTACATGCAGATTCCATATTTGTAAATTCACTGAACCAGTAAAATTTTTAAACCTACAATCAATATTTGTGGCACTTAAATAGTCATTCCATACATGTGCAAAGAGGACCAAGATTTGAACTAGCTGATGTGCATGTTCCCAGCTGAGGTAAAACAAGGTGACACTTTGTTTTCTTGTATTAGCTCTGATGTTGTAAACAAGAGTCCTTTCCATGGTTTATGTAGTGCCATTATTTTTTAAATTTTTTACTTTTATTGGTAATTTCCCTGCTTAAAATGAACCCCAAAAGAAGTGCTGAAATGATATCTAGTGTGCTTAGCGCTAGAAGGCTGTAATGCGCCTTACAAAGAAAATACATCTGGTTGGATAAGCTTCGCTCAGGAATGACTTATTGTGCTATTGGCTGTGAGTTCCGTGTTAATGAATCAACAATACATATCAGATAAGACATCTTTAAGCAAAACACAAATAAAACAAGTTATGCAATGGTCAGTTGACAAAAATGTTGTGACCGGAGGTTCAAAGGAACCTAACCCTGTATTTTCCCTAGGAGCAATGGTTCAATATTTGCTAATGCAGTGTTCACAGTAATTTTATAGAACATAACTACTGTGGATAATGAGAATCCCATGTAAATTTTTTTTTGTATAAGAATTTGACTTGAAAATACATTTCGTAAGAAGATGATTGGAAAACAGACGCACAGAGGCTTTGTTTCTGGGTACAGATGGAACTGTAAAACTGGAGAATGAATGAATGCGTTTTAATTTTTAGAATGATCACAGAAAAGACTATTTTCAGGTAAATTTTTCTGGTTATTAATTCTCTATGTCAAGCGAGTTCTGCTCCTTTGATCACAGTAGTGAGGCAGCTGTCTTGTTTTGTTTGGAGGCATCATGTCCAGTTCTACAGATTCTGGTGTAAGGAAAAAAAGCTCACTGGCCAGGTGAGGTGGCTCACACCTAATCCTAACACTCTGGGAGGCTGAGGTGGGAGCATCGCTTGAGCCCAGGAGTTTGAGGTTGCAGTGAGCTATGATGATGCCACTGCATTCCAGTGAGGGAGACTCTGTCTCAAAAGAAAAGAAAAGAAATGGACACTCACCTTCTAATTACTGGCATGTTAATTATTTACACTTGTTAATCCTTCTGAGAAAAATATCAGTAAATCTAACTCTTCTGCTGGGGATAAAAAATATTCAATAAAGTTTAAATTTCTGCAGTTATCAGTATAATGTGATAATATCTAAAATCAAATAGTTTTCAGGATACAACTGTGGTATAAATCCACCTAATCATTTTATGAAAGCTTAGAGATGTGCCATGGAAGTTCTAATACTGTATTTGAAAATCACAAAATCATATATATAAAGTTACGTACACTTATACATGATATATGCAGGACAGCACTATATTTTTGTGATTATACATATATGCAGGTATATGTATGTGTGTGTGTGTATATATACACACACACACATATATATTTCTAAGTTCCAAAAGAAACTTCCAAAGCACAAATTACTCTTTTTGGTATCATTGAGGAAGATTTTCAATTCCTGTTGAAGAACACTGTTTTATTTAGAGACCTTTCGTGGACCTTAGGAATCAGTCTCTTAATAATTACTTAGTATGGGTTTAAGCAATCATATCACACCACTCACATCTGTTCTGAAGTTCTTACCTTTCATCTACAGAAATACTGTACTCTTCACTATTGCTGTGGGGTGGAGGATGTGCCGGCGGAGGAGGAAGCAGGTCTGCCCAGTTCATGCCGCCCTGTTTGGGGACCTTGGGTGTTCGTGCTCCTTTCTTGTGCCCTTGACTCCCTAGAAAGGAAACAAAATACAAGACTTTTTATTTGTGGCCTTTATATTTTTTCTATTATTCACAAGTTAATTATTTTCTGTAAACATGATCTTATAATTCATATATGTCTAGAGAGATAAACACACTTTTCTTCATTAATTTTAAACAGAACTTTGCACAATAGAAGAAGCAAAGTACTGCCACGCTTAACTGCAAAATAAATAGCAAAAAAGCAATAAAACCATAAATGAATTTTATAAGTCATATCATTAATAGTGATTTTCCTATAGCAATTAGTTGCATTATGGATTATCATCTCAAACAAATGAGCTGTAGGCGTATTTTCTGGAGTGCCTTTCTATTATTTAATTGCTGGAACCTAAAATACAATATGATACAGATACGATCTATTAGAGTTCCACTGTTGCATTAAATCACTGAATATATATAATTTGTACTTGTCCATTGAAATGTTTTAGGCATAATGAAATTACTAGTTTTCTTCAGAAAGGCAGGTGCAGATGAAAATAATTGCTGGAATAGCGAATATAACTAATGACAAAAGAAGCTGGAAAATTATTTTTAAAAAGGGATAGAAGTGTTTTCAGCCATTGTTTCTATAAAATTATGGCAGATAGTAAAATGATGTTGTTTGAACATTCTTCGTAGTTTAAAATAGTCCAATTATTCAAGTGCTCCAGTGTTCTGATTTTAGATTTGACATAGTCTTTAAACAGAGGTAGCTGTGCATTTTATTAATACAGAGGTAGCTGTATTCATTTTAGAAAAACTTTGGGTCAAAACGTATTTAGGAATAAAATATTCCCCCTTCCAAATATGATACATTTTAGATTCATATGTGAATTATAGACAATGAGTCTATAATTATTTTTGTCACATGATCCCTTAACATCAGTGAATTATCCTGGTCGTATTCTTTTTAACCCTATCTGAAACAGCCCCTAGTCACATGGGGCATGAAACAGGTCTTAACATATTCAATGAGCCTTTTTTTTTAAGTCACTTGGGAATTTTCAGTTAAATGGCAGTGTTTGTTAAGCCAGATGTTCTTGCACTGGTATGTTACTGCAACAAGTGTGGGCTAAGGAACAGGCTATTATTAATAAACTATGATTGTCAGTCTAATGCCAATGTGTCTCTATTTTATTCCACCACTCGGTTGTCCCATATTGGGATGAGGGTGCGTGTGTTGTGGAGTTGACATTAACTAGCACCTTCCTCTTTATTTCCTGACTTACATCTACTGTAACAACTCCATCAGTCCTGAGAGACCTAACAACACAAATCTCTCCTATGATTTATTTACTTGCTTTGTTCTCTTCCCTAATTATCACCAGATTTCACATCTTTATATCATTTTTTCCATATATTCACAGAATACCAAGTGGTAAATAGCAGCAGCACAACAAAATCTAGCTATCTAAGCTGAAGGATGAAGAACGTCAGTTGAATATTAATAACTTCTAATCATAATTTTTCCCACTAACATATAATTCTCTCCATAAGTGACTAAGGATTCAAAGATGAAATGATACGACATAATCAAATATTAAAATATTTTCTATGGTTTTCCCAAAAGTAGATCCTTGCAATTTTTCTCTTAACTCAGGGTTGACTTAATTTAAAGAAGAAAATAAGTCATTTAAAAAGATTTAAATTGTTAAGAAAAACCCCAAACAACATATAATAGAATCAGAGTAGATCTAGAAAGGTAAAAGACCATTTCTAAGCTCCTTTGATTCAAATAGGAACCATTTCAGCACAGTCTAGAAAATGCCAAACCAGCATGCCTTAGTTAATTGTAAAATATAAATGCCATACTCATTACAAAAGAGGGGTAGAGACTCTTGGCTTAAAAGCCCCTACCAACAACTTCAATCCAGTTGCTGGAAGGTGCCATTTCTACCCTCTCCTGGAGAAACTTGCTAGAATCAAGATCAATTGTTTTTGTTCTCATTGTGGCGTGACTGGTCACATGTTAGTTCCAATAATGAATAGCCTTTAATTAGAAAAACAGGACTTAAGTACCAGGAAGTTCCCATCTGCAGCCCCTACCAGGAAAACAGCTGGCAAACAGCTGCAACAGCATGCAGACCACAGGGAAAAGGCCTCAGCGTGGCAGTTGCTTTATGAGGTTTTAGAGCAAGGACTGAGGGATGGTAGAGAGATTATAAACTGAGACAGGTTCCTATTGTGCCAGGATCTCACATTATTGTCTCTTAGGCTTTTGATTCTGCTCAAGTGTACTCAAATGTTATCTGCTTTTATAGCCTAGATTCAAATGGCAACATATTTAGCAAATGAACTATATGTGTGACAATTTTAGTTATATTTTGTCCAAGGGGGGAAAAAATAAGTTTCAACAGCCTTTAAAGTTTAGATTACTAGAGCTCATTAACAGGGAAGAAAATAGGAAACTTAGACTTTGGCTACCAAATAGAACATAAAATGGTTTAGAGAGGGCATAGTCCCTCAAATTTCAGGACAAGACCCACGCTTAGAATTCAAATTACATAAAGTGATTAGACATGGTACCTGCATACATCGGTCCTTAGCACTCAATTCATAATCTCGGAATGCATCATCCTAAAGAGTAGAGGTTGACTTTTTCTTTGTTTCTCCTTACTTACCAGATGTACTACTGCCCCGGTCTGAACTATTATAGGATCCTCCTGTATTCTGGTCATATGATTGGTTGTACGGGATAGTTGGAGGAATTGTGTCATTTGCTCGATAATCTAGACATTTCAGATGGAAAAAAATTAAACATTTATTTCCTCTTTGTAAGTTATTCATACCTCTTTGCTTTGTCTATATTTCTGAGTAAAGAAACTGATTGAATCATTTATTTGCCTTGTTTTTTCTTTCATTTTTATATTTATATTGTCAGAATATAAAAAGGTTTATAATCAGAGCACAGTGGCTCAGTCCTATAATTTCAGCACTTTGGGAGGCTGAGGTAGGAGGATTGCTTGAGGTCAGGAGTTCAAGATCAGTAAGATCCCATCTCTATAAGAAATAAAATTTTAAAAATTCATCAGGCATGGTGTTGTGTGCCTGTAGTTCCAGCTACTTGGGAAGCTGAGGCAGGAGGATCACTTGAGCTTTTAAGAATTTCATGTTATTGTGAGCCATGATTGGGTCACTTCACTCTAGCCTGGAGGACAGAGTAAGATCCTGTCTTTAAAAATAAATAAATTAATAAAGGTTTATATTCCAAATGGATATATATACGCACACACACATAATTTTAATAATATATTAATAACAAAATAATTTTAAACATAAGAAATCATGAAAACATCATGTCTGCAAATCACAAAAAATAAATTATAAAAAAATAAAAATGAAACTTGTCAGCAAGATTATATCTAATAAAAAATATATCCATGATAAGAAAACAAAATATTTTAATTCGCCCCACAAATGCATTCTGCTTACTTGGGCAAAGGTGAAAATCCAAATGAAAAGCTTGCCACTGGAATGTAGTCAGTAATAATCTGTCATCTAGTTGCATTCCAGGTTCTTTATTATAGCCTGACATATAAAATCTGCTTACGAGCAGTATAAACAATAAATCAGAGTTCGGAAATACTTGTATGGAGCCTGTCAGAGCTTTCCGAAGTCCACAGTAAAACCATACACTGTGGAGGAATAATGTGCCAATAGTTTGAATCACCATTGCAAACTCCATGATTGCAGAAACGGTCCTATTTATCTTTGTCAGTCTTTGTCACGAATTCATGCAGGAGTCTTAATAAATATTTATTAAACTGGGATAGTACACCAATCAAGTGCTTTCTTAAACTTGGGAAAAGGCTAGATGGACTTTATTATCAAATTAAAACATATAACATTGCCATAATTAAATGAAATCTTTAAGTTACATTTTTTGTAATCTCTAAGTGCAGTAAGTTTTATTTTTTAAGAAAATGTTCCCAACTCAAGGCTAAAGAAAATAAATCTATGTCTCTAATCATCTACCAAAAAAAGTATTCTTTACCTGGACACTTGGACAGCACTACCCCAACTATTCAAATGAAAGCAATCCCTTTTTTTCCTAGAGGCATAACTTTGCAAACCATGCTATTAAAGCCATGGACTCAAGGACTACATAGAAATCAAATATCTATCATTCCAACTCACACACATTACAATGGAGAAACATTCCCCTCAGGCCACAGAATACTATTCTGCCTCTTCAGGATAATACTAAACTCAATTCACTTTAAGTTGTATACTGACAGACTTCAATCAGGTCAACCAAAGAAATTTAGGTTCTAAAATTATACATCGAAGCAGTCTTATTAACCACATGAGGTAGGAGAAATACAACAAATTGAACCACTTCTCCAGTTCAAGTATAATTTAATTATTTTTCTTCAGGTTGATATAAAAATGCCATTCGTTTATATGACCATGTAGAAGCAATTATCTTCCATCCTCCAGTGGAAAGAATGGGATAGTCTATTTATTGAAAATGTGAGGTATTGTGACGGTTGTACATCTGCCTTATGAATAAAAGATTGTCTGTCCTAAGCAATCCCTCACCTACTATTAAATTTAAATTAATCTCAAAACCGTTTGAAAATACTTATATATTATTACGAAATGAATTTTCCAAGGTCATTGTTGTGCTAATTAACTCTTTGACACTGGAAGTTTCGAAACCAAAGAAATAAGAAAAGTCTTAGTAACAAAAGAAAAGATTTTACTTGCTATTCTGAGACAAGTTTCTGCATCTAGTGCTGAAGCCTTAAGAGTATCAATGCAGAAAAAGATGGGAAGACAAGCGAAGCTTTTCACCTTTATTCAGTTTGTTTTGTTCCATGATGTTGTACTGAATCGGTGCCACTTCTTGTTTCTGCTGTCCCGGTGGTTTCCAGTGCTTCTCGCTGGAGTCCCCGCTGCCGTTGTTCATGTTGTTGCTGAGGTTTGACTGGATGAGCTGAGTGGTGGCATAAGGAGTAGGCTGCCCTGATGGATTGACAAAACGCCCATCCTTCAGATTTGGGCTATTGAAGGTTTTCATCTCATTGATTTTGTTACTAAGGTCCACATCACCATAAACAGTTGACTCAGGGAGCATCAGATTTGTTTGTTTGTTATCCAGTTGGTTGTTATAATTTGCTATACAATCAGCTATGTGCAATGGAGAGGAAAAGGAAAAAGTCATTCTGCATGGTTATTCGTTTTACAATTCTTTCTAAGAAGCTCTGCGAGTCACAAGAAAATTGTTGTGTAAAGTACAAACAAGCTCAAATAAGATGAATAAGGTGAATAAAAAGGGCCAAATATCCGTATGTATGTTCTAAAGAAAACAATTAAAGTTGAGAGAATAAGAGAGGATATACAGAATTTGTATAGAGATAATAATTTTGAATTTTTGCTAGTCCTGAAGTAAATCATTCATCCAATTTAACACAATTTTCCTTTAAGAACCCCATTAATAGAACTTCCTAAAATAATATATATGTGAATATCTTTATGTGTTAACCATAGATTTTCTACTCTTTGGTTACTGTATTGATTGAAGCTACTAGTTAGCTGCTGATGCAACAAAGCATATGAGTTAAGAATTCAGAAAAAGGGAAAAAACTCTATCTACAGATCAAAAACTTGAGAATTCAATATTTTATACAGTACTTCTACTCAAAAGATATGGAGAACAAGGATAAAATAATAGTAAATAGCACTCTAGGAGAATTTTATTAGTTCTTGGTCATGTAGGATAATCATTATCAGGGAAAGATGCTATATAATCAATTCCTGATGGTTTCATAATGACACCCCAAGAAATATAGAATGGCCATGATGATGACAAAATGAATCATAGTATCCTGGATCACTGAATCAAATAAAGCCTAAAATCATACCTAATATATCTAACATCTCATTTCTACTCTAATTTTCCCTTCATTGAAATATTTGGAAATTAAATAATACATATAGACATATTTAATGTCTGCAGTTAAAAATATTAAAACAGTAGGAAGAACTAAAATCATATTTTAAAATTAAAATATTTTTAAAGGAAAATATTAGTCAAGTTACAATGGTAAAAATACCATTATTTTATTCATGTAGTTCAAAAGTGGCACCAATGTTGATTGGACACCATAGTGTTAGTTTTTAACTGTATATCTTTTTAAAATGATAAATTAACATGCTAACTCTGCATTAACATGCGGCTATTGAGCACTTGAAATGTGGCTAGTGCAAATGAAGAACTGAATTTTGAATTTTATATTATTTAATTAATTTAAATTTAAATAGCCATCTGTGGCCAGTGGCTACCATATTGGCCCACATAGCTCTACATATTAATTTAAATGGATATGACCATTTTTTTCTCTTATACGTCTCAGCACAGTCTTTCTTTTATTTATAGTTATTCTGTCTGTCTAGACAACTAGAATATGGAGCTCAGGAGAATGTAGACTTGGTCACATGGATATTTTACATCCATATCCAATGGAAACTCAGGACTTATTTAAAGGGTAGATATACATACTGCACTATGATTTGTTCCTTACAGTGCATATCATCTTTACTTAAATGCCACCCATTCTTTCTCTTTTCTTTAATTCCATGCATTATTTTACTTTTATTGTCATATAGATTCTTCACAATTCTTTTAATGTTCCCTATATTGTGAATATTTGGGTTATTTTGTTTTGTGAGAAATCATTTGTGATTTTTATTCCTTTAAATCTTGAATACTCCACATTCATTTTTTTACTGTTATGTTTTAACATGAGATTAAGCAAAGTAATTTACTCACCCATATTTCTGAACCAAAAATACACAATAGAAAATGTATGCAGACACATCTGAAAAGATATATAT